TTATGTTTTAAAAAGCAACTGTTTTAATATTTCCTGTAAACAATTATATTTGTCTCACATTTAAAAATATTCAGTAACAAATATGTGTGTTGTGTTGTGTTCCATTTAGCTCATTGGAAACACTATTTCACATAAGTATTTAAAAATCCAGCTGGGAGCTTTTTCCACTGTTACTATTCAAAATACCAACTTATTAAACTGACTTTTCACGGATGTACTGCGTTATGATTGAAGATGAAATGAGAATCTAGCTCATGGCAAGATTCGAACAAGCAACCTCCGAATTACCAGTTTGAGGTCCTATCAGCTTGGCTGTGAGACCTAACTGGTATATAGGTCAAAGTTTCACTGTAGTCACCAAGGGTAACCTCCAACTATCATGCGAATTAACAATACACTACTGTCCGTTAATCATCACAGTAGCTAATGCCGTCTTCTCCTACCAATCGTAACTAGAAGAGGAGGAACAGGTTGTTAATTGATTTTGAAACTATCTGAGATTGTATTAGGTTGAATGTACCCAACAACTTTCTATCTCAGTTGTTAGATCTTTGCCAAGAACTAACACTTGTTAGAGAAAACCGGCTTCGCAAGAGAGCTCGGTCTTGCAACCCGATGGTTCCGGGTTCGAACCCTGGCTGGGTCGTGGGCAAGCACTCTGAAGAGTCCATAAATAAGGCGAAACAGATGTCCAGTGCTTACTGGTTTCCAATGATATCTCTAACTAATGTTGGCTCGTGAACAAAATCCATTAACTGAAATTAATCTGAAATCCACACAAATCCTATTTTTTGATTAATAAGATTAATAAGTGGGATAGAATAAAATTAGAGGTGAGTGGATGAGAGAAATTAGAGTTCTAATACTCCAAGTTTCATGCAGACAAGGAACTTTCCAGCGGTAATTACAGTCAGATTATTTACGGGATAATTTACCTGTAAATTATTATGAATGTCATTCATTCTTATTTTTTAAATACTGAAAACATGAGAAGACTTTAATACGATAATCTTAGGATAAAGCATCAACTGGTAAATATATTCAGTGTGTCATATAAAAACATTTTTAAAAAATGCTTATATGTATCAACCGAAATTTATTACCAACGGTAATAACAAATCAAATAAAATGTCAAAAGAGATAAATCAATGTTTAATCTGAAAGGAATGAGCGTTTATCACTAATAAGTAGCTATCATCAGTATAGTTTTAAGATATATCTGTATCATTACAACAAAATAAAGCAACAGGAACTAAACAATTTATCACAACGAAAGGATGAAAATGATATTTCCCTCAGGATACAGAGCTATTATCTCAGATTATTTCCTAAGCTTTGATTAACAACATTCATAAATTACTTAATAGGGTACGACACTTTGAAATAAGAGAGATTTATGTATGGGTATTTTTAATATATGATTGTGTTCTTTATGCTGGGTGGGTTAACTGGGAAGCCTTCACTGTCCTTCTAGACTACAATATTCAGTGCTTGCTTCAGTTTGAAGTAAACCTTTTGCTCTTCTCAATGAATAGCATAACTGCCTCTCCTGATGACCGTGGTTGTGATCAGCTGCATCAACTGCACAAGTCAAAGTCGACTTACACTTCGGTTTCCATTTGAAAATCATAAACTAGCCGTAAAGAGACACGACCTGTATTCCTTCGTGTCAGCAAAGGTTAGCAGCTAAGAACACCAATCCAAATGGTAAAATGTAAATGTTTCAAACAGCAGAAATACCAAGAATGCCAGGAAATTCCCATTAACCTTGCATCGAGATCAGTCTCCACTCAATAGACATGTTGACATGGATCAAATTTATCAGTTAATAAACAACAAGTCAAATGGCTAAAAAATTTAAGAAACTGTCTATCTATCACAAGAAAACCATAGAAGAAAAACAGTCACGGTCTAGGTCATCAGATGAGAGAGCCGTATTATCCGTGGGAAATTCTAAAAACTCACTTCATACTGAAGTAATCACTGAAGATGTAATCTAGAAGGACAGTGAAGCTCCACATTCAAATTAGTCAGCTCAAAAATACAGCAACATTAAAAAGCATACAAAATGTTTGCTGAATAGTTGAATGATGATTATGATTAAGATTTTAAAATGTCATTAAAGTGACCACTAAAATTGATTTTAATAAACCTGTAAATGATCTAACGTTGACTAGGAAATCGTGTTTAGTAAATATCTGTATTTTTTATGCAGTAGAAAGTTTTAATAGCAATATTTTGACATATTGTTTTTGAGAGATCAAATAGATAAGGTTTCGGTAGTCTGTCTTTATTTTCACTTAATTCTGCGCTGATTAGCCCCAGCTTTTATCTCATAGAATTAAAGAAACTGCTGATATCTGTAGATATATTTTTCTGTAAACTATCAACATGCATAAACCTTAGATTTAATAGAACTTACTCTCAGGAAACTGTTAGGCCTTTGTGAACTACAGATTATACTGAAAGGCTATTATATATATCTCAAGATAACATTTTTACCATAGATACAACACTCCCTATTGTTGTTAGATGTAAATTAAATAAGATAATTGGTGCTTGTCTGTAGAGACAAACTTTTGTGCAAGATTTGAAATTATTTTTACCTTCCTAACTCTCTGCATTTCATTGTAAAGTGTACCTGTTTTCTTACTTCTACGTACAAATTACGATCAAACTTTGTTAAGCATTACATATTAAGAAACACTATGGTCCCCTAAATAGTGAATAAGATTAGGCTGTGTGGGATGCAAACTTACAAGAACATGATGTATTACGTAATACAGCATTAAAAGATAAAATAAAACCATATTACAAATCACTTGGAATACTTCAAAAAACAGGAAAAACAAACTGTCACACACAGAATTAACTTGTAGGAATTCATCGAGAATGTTATTCGCTACAAAATTTAAATAGAATTTATTTAAGAACCTCTCACATCTCACTTAACATATGTAGATGTGCCTTAATCAATAGGATAAAACGACGAAAAGTTTTCAGTTTCGATGAGGTCATCAACTTGATAGTACATTCATGAATAAAGAACAAACAAATGAGAAACTAATCATATGATGGAAATGATCATGACCAATGAATAGTGCTCGAAACGACATCAGTAAATCATACTATATTAGTGTTTGTGTGTGCATATATCAGTTCACCTGTTGCTGTACACTGGCCGTTCGACACGTGTCCTGGCCAAAAGGGTTCAAGAACACTATCCCGCATAGCTACAAATAGGTATTAGTGGTGATAATAGAATATCTCGTCAACACTGGTCATTCCATTTCAACAAACGCCTCCTTCAAAGTGGTTTATAAAGTAAAGAACAGCCTACCAAAGGCAATACGCTTCCGTCTCCATTGTATTACTGAAGCCTTAACCATTCATCTAGAGAAACCAGAGTTATGTATACAAGAGAAAATCGTCCAACCACTTCTACTATCATGGTAACAACCATGACTTGTTGTTTGTGTGCTTGTTTTTTTCTAACTCTTTATAACATTTTTAATTTTTAGATCTCCTACATAATTTTATATTTTCCTCTGTTTCTATATGCATCCCAGTTGCAACTCACTCATTGAACTATTCATCTTATTACGCAACTGTACTACGCTTATTCAACTTCTTTTTATGTATTGGTTAACATTAATAACTACTTTTTTTGACTACACATCACCCCACCCCCTCTAGTTGCAGTTTGATTACGCATCACATTTTTGAAATATCTTGACAATAATAGCCCTAACTTTCTTTTATTCTGATCTAGACCCAATGTACACATATATATATATATACAAAAATAAGGAAATATAAATGCGATTGTACAGCTAATTGGATGAATTTGCCGAAAACAGACTCTTTGCTGAACTACATGTTTTGTTTTCATTAATGTCTGGATGGGGATTATTCATGAATTGTTTGTTTTTTATCTATTACAATTATTTCATAATCAAGTCACAGTACTTGAACCCTTTTTCTATATTGATGAAACTTATGGAGTGTGATCAAGTCATATGGACATAGCTGAAGCATTAGCAATTCGAAAGTCCAAGCCAACACTATTTATCTAAAAGAAGCACGTCCAGTTTTTTGTCCTTACTATGGCCATCATAAACATCCCACATTCTCAACAAAATGTTATTATTAGACGATCGTGTTTTGTATCAAAATTTGCGGTTTATTTTCTTATGGTTATAATAATAGTAATAGCTTTATTCTGAAAAATGAGTTTATACACTACGGAATTTTCAAAAAATTTCTTTGTGCAGAACATTCAAGTAATATGATAAAGCAATATTGTTTCATACGAGACATGCTCAAGTAACCCACGATGTTCCTCCTCCATTTCTGTCAATAATTTTTATTTTATTCCTTTACGTTCCCAGCGGAACATAGGGTTTCAAGCTGGAGCTTTGAAGTTCTGGTGGCAGTGGTGTTTACTTTTACGAGATGGAGCTGCTAGCTTCATACCAAACCTTCCCTCTTTACCAGTCTTATTACTGGCTTAGCAAGGTAAAGGAGTGCGTCGACCGAGGATCGAATTCCGAACCACATATGTGGTTAGCAAACATTCTATCGCTGTGCTGCTGACGCACCCATTTCTGTCAGAAGCCTACTTAAAAGTGTGCTTGACTATACATTACAATTCTCAGACACAAGTGTATGATTAAAACAATATGCAGTGAAGGAAACACGATACACTTAGGTGGACAGTAAATTTAGGTAGCCCAGAAGGCCGTTAAAATTGTCATAATTTCACACCATTATTCGTTATATTTTGACCTGTGACTTGAAATAGCTGTGAAACCTTTTCCCCTTTTGTTACACACTCAGTTATACTCTACCACAGTGCCCAAGTTTTATACTTATATCAATGTATAACCTAGTTGATGACTTCGTTGAAAATGACCTCTTCGCTGCAACCATCTTTTTGTGTTTTTGATAAATATATATATATATTAATTCGAAATCATCATTTTGTAGTTGTGACTTACTTAATAATGCAGCAAATGTAATTGATGGAGACAAATTGACAAAATAAATGAATAGCACACTGCCAAATACTATGCCTATATTTTCTTTTTTCACAGCATCTTTGTAATCTCCTGGCATACGTTTAATCCATGGTTTAATACCTCGAGCTAATTCAATAAATGGTGGACAAAAATCACGTAGAAAGTTTTGACGTTTTGAAGGTTTTGGTGTTTCAATTTCAGTTGGTTGAACTGTTGGTTTATCTCCATCAGGTTTTATTACACCATCTTGTTGTTTAACACTGAATGAAGGTTGAGGGAATGATCCATTAACTAAGTTGTTCTGTGATTGTTCATTGGCTCTTCTTACTGTAAATAAAGCTGTAAAAAGAAAAGATTATAAATGTATACTAATGATAAAGAATTGATAATCAATCTAGATAAAAACGAATATTCCATTAAATGATAACTAGGTAAGTGTCTTAATTTACGGTATTCAATAGACTTTTATTCATCTTGGAGTCAGAGGAAGATCATAAAATACATCAACTGATATTAGGCACATTTTTCAATTATGGTTTTGTGAGTACAGTGTCACGTGACTGACTTGTCATCTGATGTCGGTTACTTTTAACACGCCTCATCACTAAATATCGCTACCCTTGAAAAGATTCTTTATCAGCATCCATGGAATAAAGTGATGATTTAACCACAAAAAACCCGTTCTAAAGATAGTACACCTGGCTGGACACACAAAACCTATCTACAGACTTACGAGGTGTAATGATTTACAAAAGTGAAATAAGCAACAATAACCTCAAAGAAAAGTATGCCAGTCTGATCAGTACATTATTATTCTTGACGAATAAATTGTAATAATTTTAGACGGTTGGAGGCGATCGGTAGAAAGCCTTTGACCTAGGTTTCATGCTAGTTGGCACTCACCAGTCAGCAAGGCGTATCTGCAGTCTTGAAGGAGCTCATGTCCCTTCTGAGATTCGAATCCACGTCATCCTGTGATGCAGCCAGATATGTTACCACTGAGCTATTCCGGCTGGCGATTGATCTCCTGTAGGACTGCAGTGAATACTTTAATTGGACACTAGTAAATAGTGTGATGTGTCTAGTCCTTTGTTGAGTGCAGACTGAATTCTATCAGTCAGGTTTGCAATGTGCCTCCATTCTAGGTAGCTCACCATCACGGTACACTTTGAATTGTTGGTATTAAATGGTTAGTTGAGGGCAATTGGAGAAAAGCCTCTAACTGCAGCACAGGATGACGCGGGCTCGAATCTCAGAAGTGACATGAGTTCCTTCAAGGTTGCAGATACGCCTTGCTGACTGTTGAGTGCCAACTAGCTCGAAACCCAGGTGCAAGGCTTCCTGTCGATTGCCACCAACCAACCATCTAACATCAACAATTCAAAGTGTATCGTGGTGGAGAGCTACCTAGAATGGTGGCACATTGCAAACCTGACTGACAGAATTCAGTCTGCACTAAAAAAGGGACTAGACACATCACACGATTTACTAGTGTCCAGTAAAAATTCTAATAAATTTTGTAATTTTAATTTTTTTAACTGTACCATAAAAACAGAACTACGTAAAAAAATAGTTCAACGCTGTCTTAAATCCGAACTCATCAGTAACTGGGAATATCTGATCATCAGTGGTTCTTCGAAGGTATTAAGATTTTTTCTCATGTTTACTCATATTGTGCTTGTTCGAGTGAGCCACCTACCAACAAATATCTTAATACAGTAACTGTATATTTTCAAAATTACTATACAACCAGACGATATATGGTGAACCATTTTAAAGATAATCGGTGCGTACACCGCAATTTCGGATCTTATAGTAATAATGTAAAGCCCTTTAGAAAAAAGTAGCAATTTGCCTTAATCAACGTTTTCCAAATTTCATTCTTAACTTTCTGTTATTTGTTGTTACAAGTGAACACGCTAATAAAATATAGTCTTCTGAACACCTTGAGCACAAATCTCTAAAGGTTTGATATGCGGTTTGTTCCCAGCCAGTGTAAGATGATGTTTCAGGACCGAACTGCAACTACTCTCAGCTTAAAGGTAAGGCGTATCAACCACTTCACCTATTTGTGCAGTTGCGTCAGTCTCAAGAACTGACTGCTGAATAAATCTTATTCCAGCTAGAGTACTTGCATTTTAATTATGTGAATGTGGCAATAACAATGAATCTGACATAAAAATGTCAGTTGCTTCAACATCATCGATAGTAATCGCATCATAAATGGATAGGTGAAATGCCTAAATTATTAAAAAGCGCCGATACAAAAGGCTCTTATCGCATTCGCCAAACTATATCATCTCTGGCATGGATGTGATATCCATCCATAGATCAAAGATCGTGTGTAATGCGTGACTGTTCACTCTGTCTGCCTTTATGACTGTAAAACATTGCCATTGAAAGTGGAAGATATGAAAAAGACCACCTGTCTTTGAACACAGATGTTTTCGTTCTGCCTCCCGTGTCAAGTTTTATAACACGAAGGGCAAAACAGAGGTCAGAAGTAGAATTTTAGGTGAGGAGAGAAAGTTAGTTGATACGGTTGTGTAGCTGTATCGATTAAGATAGCTAGGATGTGATGTGCATGCACAGTCACCGATTCCTCAACAACCAGTGTTATTCGATATAGGATTTGGTTCAAAAACAGTTAGGAATGATCAAACCAAAGCCTGCGATCAGTCCATGAAGTCTTTGATAGTTGCCCTGAGTCACGTAGGAAGGGATGGGATCCTCGGGGTGCTAAGAACGATGGCTTGAGACTATTTGAGATAAGACTAAACAATTTTTCTCAATGGCGCAGACACATTCACACTTTGTGACCTCCCATATCCACTAAAACATGATGTTTCCCCCATTCTACTATTCTTTCCTCTTCACATATATGATTATTATAGTTTTACTGAACCTCTTCTATTCTTTCTTTTGTCTACCTTTGTGTGCTACATAAAGTGCGGTAACCTGAAGTGTTGCATTTCTGTGCTAATGCATATGTTGAAACTTAGTCAGTCAGTCTTCATTACAGTGAACACTAATGTTCAACATTTTCTAACCAATGTTTAATTATCGCCAAATTATTGCTAACAAAATGTACTGATATCTTTACTGAAACCAGTGATTTTCATATGTTATCACATTTTTATTTCAAACACGCCAATCATAAAATTATATGTAATTCAGATAACTAATTATTCAGGGCAGAAATATTTCTCTCAGTGCAACCAGCTAGTCAATATAAAGTACTTGTAAATACGGTATGTCCATTTTGTCAAATCTCTGAATTGAGATTTACATACATACCTAAATGCTTAGGCTTTCAGTAAAATTTTCACAGACTATATAATAACGACTATTAAATACTAAATAAGAAACACTGATGTCACGTGGTTGATGATGACTGACAGCTGGATTCAGACAGCGCGTTTCAGCGTATTTGGGACTCATTAGATAAGATGTTCTTGTTCATCCCAAGCAGAAGATAGTTATGTCCCATTGGAGTCAAACCCAGCACCTATAATCTCAAAAGTCAGAGCAACATTGGCTACGGCAGTGGACTATAAGAGTCACCTCTTATGCGTCTATACTAGGAAATGACATGTCAAAAGAGACCAAGGATTTCGGCTGGATATAATTAGTCGACGTGTGATTCGGAAATAACTTCAATAAAAAAGGAAACGAGAATAATGTTCACTTCAATAAGTAAAGTAAACTGAATTTGATAATTACATTCTACTGATGATTTTTAAAAGGTTCAAACCATATGACAACAACATAAACATTTGACGAACAGTATTATTTGAAAGTACCATCCATAAACTGTCGTATATATATATATAATACAAAAGTATATTTTGTGAAGAAACAAAAGGAAACTATCGACTTAATTCTATTTAACTTTATTTTATTACAGAATATAAGTAACACGCACACATAAAAAGAAAATACTAGATATGATATAAATCATTTGTAAAGAGATAACACGAAATGAAACAAATCTGAATCAAGCGCTTTTTTTAAACAAGAAAAAGTGGAATAAATCAGTAGAATAACAGTTTTATTTTTATACGATTATGTCTACTTCTAAGATTCATTAACATTAATAAAAGTAATAATAACAGATCCAGAAATAACAGGAAATTTGTATCACAGCGATTAGATTGATTTTAAATATTACAGAAGAAGAAGAAGGAAATAGGACAAAGGGAAATCGTATTATGTTGAAAAGTATAATCAGAGGTTAAAGTAGCAAGTGAGGAAAATGAGGCATACACAGCCTTTGAAATGATAATAATCAGATAAAGTCAATATTGGTAGATAACACATGAATGATCGAATTACTATTTTTATAGGCGTTTATTCAATAAAATCCCATCCTTTTGTTTATCTGAATATCATGTGAGATATAACGACGAAAAAATTAACATTTGTTGAGTTTACACGCGTTTGGCATGCATGTATATATATTTATATATAAAACATTTTGTGGATTTTGAGAATACGTGTTTAAGTTTGCCAACAGATTAACATCAGTTAGGGAACTATTGAAAACCAGGGAGGACTAGACAGCTGTTTCCTCCTAGCTTAGGACTCTCCAGAAGTATGTGCTCGCAACCCCATGAGGGATCGAACCGGTTACCCTCAAATCACGAGGCCCAATTCAATGAGCATTCAGATAATCAGGCTAAAATTTAGAGACCTGTCAGTTCCCGACTTTGGCACAACTACCAGCTACTGTCATCCGCGTACAGATGAAGAGACCCAAAGAAGAACGAAACAGCTTTCCGGATCTTCTTGATTTTTAACGGTTCTCTAACTGATATCAATCCGTGGGAAAACTTAAAACAAATCTAAACCATACAAAACTAAATACCGAAAATAGATATCTAAAAAAGATAATACAAAGAGCAATCAGTAGGACTGCCTAATAGACAGAAGCAGTATCAACCAAAGAAAGGAATTATTTGAAGTGTCATACAGTTTAAAACGATGATCTTTATCAGGTTTACACATCATACACAGTAAAAGGGACCACATTCTATGAAGAAACAAGTAATTCTTTAAACTTCAAGACTTAATCCTGACAGTAAGGTTTTAGCATACAACTTAAAATTCTCAATTACATTTCTCACAAGCCTACAGTATAAGACCGCAACTGCTCAAGTTTTTAACTTAGGCAAATAAAAGACTGGTGAGAAATTTAATTTTCACTCTCAGTGTTCTGCACTGATAATATTATTATCATCATCAATTAATGCTTACCTCGTACGCGTCGATCAACGTCTCTTTCAATTACTGTTTCTCTTCGATAGGCTTCAATCTGTCGCGTCATTCCAGCCAGAGCATTTGCATTGTAATGACGTGAAAGCGGCAATACCAATGAATCTTGCATAAAAATGTCAATTGCTTTAATAAGATCATCGACAGTATTCGCATCATAGGTGGATACACGGAATGCCTGAATAGCGGAAAAACATGAATTAGTCAGTGAGTTCGGAAGGTGTATACAAATGGCGACTATTTATTACTTTTTTGTTACAGTCAGAGATACTGTGATAAATGGTGACATAAATAAAGAATGAAAAATCCTGAAATAAAAATTACAGCAATAAATTCATGTTTTATTAGTGGCAGTTAACAAAAACTGCTCATCAGCATCAATGAAGTTCGTTGTCTGTATGGAAAAGACTATGAAAGCATATTTATCATGAGTAATTTTTGTTTCCGTTTTCAGGAAATAAATTTCACTGGAGCAATTAAAAAGTAACTGTGTCTGAAGTAATTACTAATTGTCTCTAGTAAACTAGAATATTGCCTTTGGAAACTTTTCAAAAGGAATTATAATTTTTTTTAGACAGAAAACAACAGAACTAAGAAAGCCAGTGCTTCAAAAATAAATAATAAGCATTAAGAAAGTAGAATCGATTAAAATCATTTATATTCCAACAGAACCTTTAGCATGAATATTGTTAACGCTTAGTTATGCATGTGATGATTCGATAAGGAGTATGATCTTAGATTGCAGAGTAAAGCAAAAGCAAACATTGAAAGTAGCTGACGATTTAAATGAAAATGCCACAAAACTACAGCACGTCTTAAATATTACATTTAAAATAAAAAGGCCTTGTGAGAATAACTATAAGAAGACAAGACATGGATTAATTCTGCTGCATAATTTAATTACTATTGACATACATCAGCTGCACCATGTGTGACAATGTGGGAAGAGGGGATATATTTAATAAAATTTAGTCGGTGAATAAATTTCTTTACAACATATTAACAACATAGTTATTTCGACGTCCGGGGTTATGCGGTAGAATGCTAGTCAACTGTGAACTTAGCCCTGGGTTCGATTCCAAGCCGACACACTCCTAAACCCTGCTGAGTCACCAGTAAGGCCGACAGAGAAAGAAGGTTGAGTGTAAGACTAACAACCACACACCATAAAAAATAAATAAAACCAATGCTACCGAAACTCCAAAGCTCTAGCTTGAAGACCTATATTCCATTCAGAACGTAAGGGAATAAAATATTAAATAGTGAAAATAATAATAACGCGTTGTTCCACTTTCAGAAACGATAGGTGTAACTGCGAATTGCACTCGTCATTCTATTCTAAAATTATCTTGACGTTTTTAAATAAAAGCGTTGAAAACCAGTTAAAGAAATGACAATGAAGTAACAGTTTTAAGTTGTGTTTTTCTAACAAAACAATCCCTGCATAAACCAGTACTTGAAAATCGATCTAATGCTCACTAGCGACTGGCCCTATTCAGGCAGTGACCTGGGGTTTTAGTGTGAAGCCGTGACCAGTAGGGTGCAGCAGATTGAAGATGAGGCATAAGCTCATCGAAGACGACAAAGTGGTTACGCTATGTCGTGAATTGGAAGAAGTTAGAATTTATGGTCTGGCCATTGGCTCGGGTCCCAGTGGCCTAATGGTCTACGAGATCGCTAGCCTTGTAACCAGAATGTCCTGGGTTCGAACCTCCTTTGGTGGATGCGCACTGCTGAAGAGTCCAGAAATTGGATGGAACAGACATCCACTACTCCCAGGTTTCTCAATGGTTTTCTAACTGATGTCAGCTCATGATGAAATCCTCCAACCAATCAAACAAACAAAATCCCTACAAAAACCAATACTTGAAGATTGATATGTGACAAGTTATTTGTGTATTTGGCTAGAAATTGACAAAATATTTCCTCTAGAATGTTAATGCTGACAATATGACAATTAGAAAAATAAAGTACATTACCACAAATTTGCAATAATCGCCTTTCATAAGAAGAAAAAGAGGAGATCAGATTTATTCTTTAGGGTATGGACATATACATATGTATATAGATCGTGGGTTTTATTGGGATTTGGAATAAATTCAATGTAGATTTGATTGGGGACCAACATCAGTAAGAGAATTGGGGAAGAACAGTCCTTATTAGTTCTCGATATATGTATAAATTTATTATGAAGCGATTTCGTTTACAGGCAGAGAATGCTATCTAAATATATTCTAACAATACTTGCTCAAATATGTATCGAAATTTCATAGATGAGTTTCATAGTTCCACTTCATAGTCGTTTATTTCCGACTCTTCTCCAGCTCTGTTAAATCAGTCATGCTGAAAAATATTTGGATTTCTTTGAAGGTGTGCAATACTTAGTCAAATAGAAATTTAGGCCCAGAGTAAAAGTTACTTCATTAAAGGAATAGCAATGAAGAAGAATGTTATTGTTACAAATAAACAGGTGTGGATGAACTGTATAGTTACTTTAAAATTATGTATCCGTTAAGCAGTGATAAGTATGCATCACTGTCAAACAGTTCTCCTAGCAGACCTTTAAACAAGTGTTTCACAACATCACTTTAACCTGTTTAACCTGTCCACGCGATAAGTACTAACCTTAAGAGTTCAAGAGTTACATGTTTACAAACGGCAATCTTTAATGCAACTTCAGCCTCCACAAGGTCTGTTATCAGTTTTCTACAGACAACAAGATTTTTTAAGCTCAGGACCCAGTTCCCACCGCATACAGGTAGATATTTAGATTAATATACGACTAACAGTGCTAACCATTTATCCAAGTAACTGATATCAATTAAAAGTTTATTGACGGAACTTACTGACAATATTTAACATAACCGAAAATGTCTGTAACAAGTGTGTTATTATTAACTGTTTTCAGCCTGAATACATTTAGTAATGGTCCAGCACGTTCGATAAACTAACATACTTTTTCCTTGATGTTATATATTTTCCACATCCTTCGACTAATATTTTTATGATCTGTCTAAAGCATATACATATAACAGTAGCATAACTGTTTGACTTGTTTGTATTCCGTTTAACTAAGGGTCTACTAGGAATTTTCATACTGTTACCCAAATGTTATACATTGTATTAATTGATGTCTGAATCTAAAACGCAGAAAATTAGGCATTTTCTCATGCATAAAATATTGATTAGAATATTGTGACGCATGGGGTATTATATATATATATATATACTGATAAATATTCTAATAGTGAGTCGGTAAAGTTCAGAGTTTTGACTATCTTTATTTCATTTGAAAAACTTATGAAGTCTATTTCACTTTTGTCTTCAGCATTTTTCACATGATCGTGTTTAAAAAATATGCTTTTTGAGGAAGACAACGGTTTTATGCCAGTTTAAACTATCAGAGAGATATAAATGATTATTTAAGTACTGTTTATGTAAGGAGAATTCTGCAAGGAAATGAATCATTAATTTTAGTCTTAATCATAATTAACAACAGTAAAGAAGAAATGGAAATAAAAAATATTTGTGTGACTGTCAAACGTATCTTTCACGTGATCAGGCCTATATTGTTCTTGTCGAATTTGAGATGATACTCGAAGACTGATGTGCATTGAATATGAGTTTATAAAGAGAGAGGGAAAACGGTTAAAAGGGTGATCAAATTACCAATTGAGGAAGTTACTTCAACCCTAGTGGACGAATTGGTGATGAAATCTGAAAACAGTTAAAAAAGGCTAGTTTGTCACTTCCCAGCTTTCGTCATTTTTGAAGCAGGTATGGTTTCCAGGTATCCATCAAAAGAAGTGCGTATTGTCCACCAGTTCGACCTTTCTTACTTTATGGCTGTGAGGCATGGTAGTTGATAAAGATACGGAACGATGCGTTATTTTTGTCACAGATGCCTTTGTTATATCGTTTTTATTGGGTGAAACAATACAGTCAGAATAATGAGGTGACAATTCGGGTGTTGGATAGAAAGGAAAAGTCACTCGACGTCATTATGAAACAGAATTTATTGAGTTAGCCAGGACATATGACAATCATGATGATACACTTCCATCCTCGACACTTGATATTAACTGAAATGTGACTAGAATGGAAAACAGTTGGGAGTGATTGGATCAAAGCATAACATATTATTATCACCATTAATATTGTAAATTATAATTAACAAATAATAAAACTTTTAACCTACATCATTAGTCATCATGACACCAAATATTCGAGCCAATTCAGCATAATTCCAATCATCAATTTGTGGTCCAATAAAAATGAATATAAAGCGTACAGGAATATCCACTTCAGAAATACATGAACGTTGAATACTTTTATTTAATCTTAGCAGGATAACAATTGGTGCTTTTAAAAATTCCACCTGTCCACAAATAACAGTACAGGCTTCTGAACCAGTTGACATACAATTAGTTAATGGTTGATTATATCGATGATATGGATGTTGATATTCATGATGAATACTAAGCGCTTTAGAAAGTGAACTGCTTCCTTGTTCTCTACTGCCTAGGGAAAGCTGATAAATAAAATGAATAGAAAGAATTTATGCGTATTATATATCAATATATGACAAAGAAGCAGATTTATCCAGCATTAAAGAATCATAGCTGCTGTTATGTAATTCCAGTCATTACAATCATCTTACTATGAGAAAATATTCTCATCATTATACACTTATTTGTTAAATGGTTGGCTCTTTGATCTGTTCAGCAACGTCAAATTCAATGCATATAAAAAGTGAAAAACTCGCAATATTAAAAACCCGAAGAAGAAACATGCCAAGCAATTAATTATCTAAAGTATCCATTTGAATTTATTTTTTATCTTCACAGCAATACCAAAAATGTATTTATTTATTATGTAAACAAAATTGAAGCCTTGAAAAAAAAATATTAAATGAATGAAAACAGTCACTTTTATTATTATTTTATAAAAGCAATTAATCGCTAGCTTGGTTAGGCATTGGGTTTGTTTTATGTCAGCTGCGAAATTTCAGCGATGTTGTTTTTTCACTCTATTACTTTTTGGCAATTTATCTATTTTTTTACCAACCTGTTGATTAAGATCACCGCATGATAAACACGATCTCTGAACAGAAGGGCACGCCTAAGAAGGAACATAAATGGGATATGAAATTAAATGTTGGATATAAAATAGTTTTGACAATTTATGGATATCCCCTGCTAATGTATGTAAGCATATATGCATATATATAAGGTGAGGAAAGTTACTCATCGAAGAAGACATTGCGAAGTGGTCGCGTTATGTCGTGAATTGGAAGAAGTTAGAATTCGTGGTCTGGCCACTGACTCGGATCCCAGGGGCTTAATGGTCTACGAGCTCGCTAGCCTTGTAACTAGAAGGTCCTGGGTTCGAACCCCCTTTGTTGCATGCTTATTGATGAACACTCCCAAACTAGGCTGACGAAACAGCTGTCCAGTACTCCCAGGTTTGCCAACGGTTCGGTAACCGATGTCAGTTCATGATCAAATCCTGTGACCAATCAAAAAAATCCCTACAAACCAATACTTGAATATATATATATATATGTTGAAAGCATACACTTGCAAAAAAACAAATTTTCATTAGCGAAAATTTACAAATATTCTGTTTAAAATAGTTTTTTTTGAAAACAATTCCCAATCGAGACAAACAGTTTAATGCATAAGTGTTTAGCCTCTTTCGTTTTTATTTTGTTGTTTTTATGCGGAAATTAGCATTATAATGTAGTATGTGTTATTAATAAAGTGCATAATTCATACAAGTGCATAAAAGTATCAACACAGAGACACAACATTCAGTGTTTAAATAAAAAGCAAAATACATTTGTTTTTTCGTGGAAACATTCACCTCTCTTTTTAAACTGAATTAAAATTGATCAGTTTTAGCATTACTCAAATCCCTAATGTTAGCTAACAATTACTTTTACATTTGCAGCCGAGAAAAAAATATTTTCACTAATAAAATGAAGCGAATATGTATATTAAACTCAATTATACATAGCTAGACATGAATGAAAAGAAGGAAGTTGCTTAATAAATGGGTTAATGATGCAAAATACCCTAACATAAATTCCTAAGTTGAAGAGAATGTTTAACAGTTGATTGAACAAACTGACAAGCTACATGAATTCATACTCTGTCTAAATTTTCCAACGGATGAGGCATTTTTAGAACTCTGTATGAATTTTTAAAAACCCAATAAAATACGGATCAGTTTTATCTATTATTACTCTATCTTTTTTAATTTATAACCTTCTCAGTCTTTCACTTATTGGCTTAACGGCTGATCGTGATCGTTATTCAGAGCCTTAAATACCAATACTAGATACAACACAGAGGACTGACCAGAGAACAGGGGTGCATTTAGTTTGTTAGGTGATAGATGTTCCCCTTGGTCTAACCTCAGATAAGTGCATTTCACCTTCACTAAGAGATTATGCTGAGTTTATATCTTTATTTTTAAAGCATTCAAGTCTTCAAAACAACCATTTAAGGTGACATCAAAACTTTCAAACATATTTATCAAACCCTTTTAGCTATTTACTAGTTTATTTTACTTCAAATGACCAACAGATCAATGCCTCTTATATATCCTTGCCTCTGAAAACACTTTGTGAAGTGTGTACTTGTTAACAATTATATTATGCAGATAAATTGTCATGAAAATGGGTGGTGGAAAGCAATATTCACTGGATGAGGTGACCACCATTCATAAAGTATTAAATGTTTATGCACTTTTGGAGAAATGTCAATCATTCGTTACCATTTTACTACATGTTTGTCATTATTATTGTTATTATTATTTTCACACATATATTTTATTAATTTTTTAAAAGTTTATTTCATCTGATTAAGTCAAGTTACATATAAGCATTTCAGAGTGAAGCAAATATGAACCAGTTTGAATCTATCCAAGAAGAGGGGAACAGGGAACATTCTTTGTTTATTTGTTTGTTTTTCTGTTAAGTAAGAGACTCTCCCTTGAAATTTATAATTATTATTTCATGAGAAAAACTATTACACAGTAAACTATATGCATTTTGTGATGCAATTCTTGTTAATGCATTTGTACAACGTGAATAAATACTGTATTGAAGCATGTATACTTGATTTTTGATAAAAAATAATCTGAAGCACGAAAAATTTTATCAGAAGACTTTATTAATGACAATAACAATAATAATAATATGCAATATATATTTTATAAAAGTGAAGCTGAGATAAATTAGCACATTAAACATATTAGTGTTATTTTTTGTTTTTTTGCTTGTCAGTATTAGCTAGTAGCGTGCATTACTACATGCTGTGTTTACCCACCTTAGGTTTGAAATCATTTGTTGAAACAGATCCTCTACTTATAGAAGTATTTTTCTACATGATAAAGAAGGAGAAGGGGGAAATTTTGAATGTCAAAAATGAATAAAATGATAGTTCAACTTTTTCTTTTGTACAAATACAAAATATGAAGTAGTAAGCTTATAAAAAACAACACACAAAATAAAATTTATAAGCAAAGTGCATTAAACAACCAGTGTGTGAAAACAAAGAGACTTTTTTAAACACTACGAAAAGCTAGAAACACCCAAAAGAAAAGAATTGTGTATGTGTGTATATATAATTACATTTTCTAATCAAATTTTCGGCTGATTTATTTCCTTATAACATATTGTTTTACTTAACTCGTCTAAAATAAATCTTTTAAAAGTAGTATTAGTAGTAGTAGTCGTATTATATATGAGCAAACTAGTCCGTTCATATTCATTCTAACAATACATACATTTACACATAACACATATATATGACTGTGTAATTCTGAAAATGAAACCTACTGAAAAGAGGTATTTCATTTGCTTCAATAAGCTTTTAATTTAATCTGTCATACGCTACATTGTATGCTTAATAAATAACACACTATAAAAAAAAATTCATAAGATTATGCATAAACTATTCATTTTAATTTGATTTATGATAAGCTGTGAAACTGAAGCTATAAATAGTTTAATCTTTAACCTAGAAAGTTAACTTTAGAACAGTGAAACGCACTGTTTCCTAGTGGTGAAGAATAAATGTCTATAAATATGTCTACTAATGTATAAACAATTTATTTAATTTACATATATTCGAAGGTAGATAACATCAGAGTCTGATAACAGGCAAGGAATCAGTAAAAGCCATTGAGCAATGGATATGTGTTTTCTCCTAGTTTAGATCTATTTAACAGTACATACCTATTAGCCCTTCCAGAGATTGAATCTAGGGTGTCTGGATAATCATTCAGCTACTTGGTTGGAATGAAGTGATCCATGAATTTTCTGACATTGGAATATTTTTGTCATGATAAAACAAACAGATATTGATTTATTGCCAAATGGTTAAAGGAAGGAAGTTCTATACCTAGGTCTCCTATTCATTGGCATTCATTGGTAAGATGTATATGTAATGTTGAGGGGATCAATATTCTTTCGGAGACTCTAACTCACACCAATCAATGTTATAATCACAGATATTTCCAGTAAGGTTTTCAGAACCTTAGTCAGTATAAACGTTAGTTTCATTCCAGTAAAAGTTTTGAATATTAACCATGTAATGTCACATCACAGCTATTTAACTGGTGTAGATTTCAGGAGCAAAATAGACATATGGACATTTTTATGATGGTATAGTTTATCTGTTGACTTTCCAATAGTCGCTATTCGAAATAACAGGTATTTAATATTTACAAAAAACTCAGTGACAGATGGAAACGATCAAATAATTATCAGATGGAATTTAAAAGATTAACAGAACCCCAGAATTATGGCAGAACACTCTGTGCCGCTTCATTCTACTTCTTTGCCTTGTAAATGCAGTTAGACAAAGCAAAACAATTACACTCAGTAAGAATTTAGTGCTACAAAAGTGAATTCCATGTATTGTGAATTATTAAAGTAGAATTAATAAAGTCTAAAACTGAGTTGGTGGTTCACCGGCAAAATGCTCGCTACCCATTCAGGAGGTCCGGTTTCAATTCCTGATCTACGCTCTCCCAAGCCTCTTCTATCCAGTAGCAAGGTTGGAAACGAGGGAAGGTTAGGCGTTAAGCTATTACCCCACTGCTAATGAGACTTTAAAGTCTGAGGCCTTATATTCCACTCGTTAAGCAAGGAATGCGAAAATAATAAGCTAAGCTAGTTTAGTTCGATATAAAGCTGGCTGGAAATTATTCACGCTTTAAAAGACAGCTTAAATTTGTTTTTCTAAAAAAATTCGCATGAATGGTATTTAAAATGTAAACTTAATAAGGTAAATTTGTTTATCTCTAATACTCATCTATCAAATTATTAATTAAATAGTCAAAAAGGGTAGGCTTTGCCAGTTTATAATACACTACTTAGTATCTCGCTAACTAATGTTTAACTAGGAATATAATTGTAAATATTTTTTTGGCAATTCACTATTTCCTCTTGGGATTAAGTTTTCAAAAATCATACATATACGATTGTATAACTTGATGATAAATTTGATGAAAGAGTCACTTCGTTGAATATTATGTTCCAAATATTACTACGAGAGTTATTAAATTATTGTTATTACTCCCCCTGTTTTGAAACCTAAAAATATTTCTTTGCCCCATTAATAATGTTAAACGATGCTCGCATAGATTCTCCAGAGTAATGAGGTATTAAAGATGAAAATAAGTCAGTAGTCTTCTATTTGGCCTCCCTGTTTATATCTTTACATAGAAACGTACATATTATAAATGAAACCATATTTGAAGATATCGAAATAAATGTGTTAGAAATAAATGCATTTTATTTAGTGCATTCACAGTTCAACACTAGAAATATTTAATCTGTCTACAAGGAAAAAACATTTCAAATTCTTTTATCTCTGCTAAGTTTGCAATGAAACATATTAGTTCAGTCTTATTAACAGTAGACTTCAGAATGATATTCGCCTTATATTAACTAAATCAAATCTCTAATTCATCCCAACTGGGATTGAGAAGATAAATACACTTATTAACAAATCGGTATTTTCATTATAATTCATTAAATGTAGAATGCTCGCCAGCCACTCAGGTGGTCCGGGGTTCAATCCTTGGCCAACGCACTCTTAAACCTCGCTTAGCTGGTAATAAGCCTGGCAAAGGGAGAAGGTTATGCGTGAGACTAGCGATCCCACCCCGTAAAAATGAAACCACTGCTACTGAAGCTTCGAAGCTTTAGCTTGAAGCCCTATGTTCCACTGGGCACTTAAAGGAATAAAATTAATTAAATTATAATTCATAACAAGACACAGCACTCAAATTACTAACATCATTGTAAACCAACAAGAATTATTCTTGCTAGCCAATGCACCATTGGAGACTAATACATTGCGTTAAGTGTCACAGGGGTGTACGATTCAAAAACAATCAATAGTCTTATTAATTTTGATTGAATACATAAAAGCAATAAATAGACTCCAACATATATAGTCGAAGTAGGCAATGCATAAAAGCGTAAAGCCATGCGAATATAGTGCACATAGAGTAGAAAACAAAGATGTAAGTTAGCATGCTGAAAGGAAAATAAATAGCTGCAACTAAAAGTACACTGAACAGAAGAGCTTTTCATCTCCATCTGTTGTTTGTTTGTTTTGTTTGTTGCTTTTTTGTTATGCCTGTGCAATAAAAAGTAAGCGACCCACCTTATTTCTACATCCCATTGCTGCTACAGAGGCTCTTTGTAAAAATGCCGGTTTCTAGATTGTATAAAGAAAGTGTATTACTTTTAATTATAATAGGTAGAATTAAAATACATATTATTCACCTTTGTGCTGAACTAATCAACCATAGTGAATTTTAAGCATAAAATTTTGGTAAAAGAAATCATTTCATTCTTTAAATACACATTATTAAGTAAGCTTTTGTGTTCATTATGTTGAAAGCCACATAGATGCATTCAATGTATGCTCAATTGAAACTTCTTATAAAAATATCTAAATGTTACTGTGTTGGATAAAAGGGAACTCAAGTGAAAAGAAAGTAGAATTCACTGGAGTATAGAATTTTACGAAAAGTGATAACAAAGTAGATTTTGGTCAGATACTTAAAAGAAATATAAAGACAAGTTTGCTTTTTGAATCAATAAATGTTAATCTCACAGTTGGAAATAAAAACAAAATTTGCTATATGACGTTAAATGCTAATAGTTACAGGTATACAAATAATTACGTCGGTGGCACATAGGTAGAATGCTCGTCAACCATGCCTCATGTGGCTCGGGGTTCAATCTTCAGTCGACGCACTTCCAAACCTCTCTAAACCAGTAATAAGATTCGTACAGAGGGAAGGCTGGGCATGAAGCTAGCAACACCATCCCGTAAAAATAAATACCACTGCTAACGAAACTTCGATGCTCTAGCTCGAAGCCTTATGTTCCACTGGGAACGTAAAAGAATAAAAAACTACATATAATTAGACAAAACTTTCGGAATTACAGAACTGTTGAAGTTTTCAACACTATCATTCATCTTTCAGTGTATACGGGGTTTCTATCTCCCTACTTGTGGGTCACAATATCATGTGTTTTTGACTTTTTATCTGAATGCAAGGAGGCATTTGAGTTCTTTGCTTTCGGCTACAGCTAAGACAATTTATACTTCCTGTAGTAGTGTTTATAGTTCACTAGTTCATTTAGTTATATTGTCATACTCATTTTACAAAATTAACATCAGAGAATAGATTTTAGCCTTCTGTGTTGTAGTAGACGTTCCTTGACGTGGAAATGAGGCACAACATTAACTGGAAATTAAAGTACCTCATTTTGTCATCTGCTGAATGAACATATTCCATATAGCTCCGCCAGATGCATTAGCAATAATGTAAATCATTACACGAATTCAATGAATTCTGTTTTGCAAGGGATTACAATCGAATTTCCTCTTAGTACCCTCCATTTTAGTAATTTCATAAACACCTATGCATCTTGCCGCTAGTGTTACATATCAAGTAGAAGCTTACGTTATTTACATAGTATAAACTGAAGCATCATAACATGCTTCCAGAAAGTTAAATGGATAATGACTCCATGGGTTATTAACATTTTTGGTCTCGCTACCCTCAACTATTTTCCAGACAAGTCTAATTTTAGCTGATATTTCTTGCTGAGAAAGGTAGTATCCAAGTGTGCTTAACAAATGACTTAATCACCTTTCTTACTACTCCTTACCCTGATAGTACCTATCATTTTACTCCACCTAGCATTAGTAAGTGAAGCAAGGTAGTCAAAAATCTTTAAAGTTTTCATGTTTTCTACTTTCAGCAGCCATGCAGTCAAGTAATTTGGAGTGTTCTCTAACTATATTCAAAAATAAAAATAGTACTATGCTCTAACGCACTGTTACGTCTAAACTCTGTTCAAGTAGAGGCGTAACTGTAAAGTTAGTAATTAAAATTCATAGGTTCTGCACTACCATATTTTGCAGTAGTCGCCTGCAAATCTACTTCTATTCTAACTTTAATTACTCAGTTTTAATAAGTGTTTCACCGGACTTGTTTGATGATATTTAAGTATCAATTTGTAGGGATTTGACTGGTTACAGGACTCGAGCTCTCCCTGTAACCAAAAGGTCCTGGTTTCGAACTCCCTTTAGTGGGTGTGTACTTACGAAAAGTCACAAACTAGGAAGAAACAGCTGCCCAGTACTCCCGGGTTTTCCAATGGTTCTCTAACCGATGTCAGCTAATGATGAAGTCCAATGACCTAATAATTTTGCATAGCGTCAGTTCTAATTCACTTTAAAAACAGGATTGTAATTTCTGCTTCAGTTATAATCATCTAACAATATCTCCATTTCCTAAACCAGAAAATCTCAGTTCAAAATATAAATTCATTCAAAGAACCGGATATGAAATAGAAATTTCGTTCAGTAACGAACATGACACAAAAATTAACGTTCACTATTAAAAAAAAAATGCAAACAGCAGAATGATTGACAAGTGATTCATAAATAATATCCATTAGAAATACTGATTTTAATTAGAAAAAATAAAGAGGTGAAAAAGTAAGGTTCCGAGTAGGCTAATCATGAGAGGATTCATACATCTGCAATGATCTTATCACTATGCTCAGACGTTTCATTTGTAATACAGTAATCTTTGAAAATTTAACATTCAGTTTAACTGTGTAGTCTATTTCTTCGGATTTTATTAACGCTATATATATATATTTTCCTTCACGTTCCCAGTGGAACATAGGGTTTCAAGCTAAAGGCTTGAAGTTTCTGTAGCAATGTTTATTTTACAGGGTGGGGTTGCTAGCCTCATGCCCAACCTTTCCTCTTCACCAGCATTATTTCTGACTAAGCGAGGTAAAGGAGTGCGTCGGCCGGGGATCGAACCCCGGACGGTGTGCATGGTCGGCGAGCGTCTTAAACGCTATGCCACCGACGCTGATATCTGATTTATTAAGAAGGGCACACTCAAGAGGATTAGGAATTCATATATTGCATAATCTCAGCGCTCTTTTAGGAGTCACAAGGTGAATAGATTTCTTTTTACCCGTTGTTATTTTTTTCAATACATTATACCTGAAGTTTTATAAACCGAAGATTCTATCTAAGTATTCTTTTGCATTTTACAATGTTTTAGAACTTGGTGTTCTTAAATGATACACCATGATGAAATTTTCTACAATACACTGTATCTTCACTCTGAAATTTCACTGTGGTTTCCATAAAAGATTGAAATACTGACATCATAATATACTGATTGGCATCGTGAAAGAGATGATAAACACGAAACTAGAAACACTACACATTCAAATGACAATCAATGTTCCCTGAATACGTCAGAGTGATTTGTTGTTTCCTACTTTTTCTTCTGATGCCCATTGAAAACTAATATACATGTAGAAATTGGGCAGTGTGGTAGTCTGTAATTTCATACTAATTTGTTCACTAGATATGTCACACAGTGAAACAGTATTATTTTCTGGATGACGTTTCGAATACAATTCATTGCTGTTCATAATCATATCTGTTATTACCACACAACTTCAAAACTTTCTTCTTATAGTTTTCTTTATTCTTTCCTATTTGTCGTAGAGATAGTAGAATTTTCCAGATGTCTAGGTCAGATGTTGAATCATTTCTATTACACGTATTTGCAGTTGATTCGATAAACAAAGCATGCTTTGCATGTCACTTATGCACAGAGTAATGACAACTCCAATAATAGGGAATTTAAATCATCAGTAGTACTTCAAAACAAAGAAGGAACCTAGGAAAACTTATGATGAATTCTTAGCAATGCTGGAATAAAAGTGGCATTCTAACCCACAAACTCAATCAGAAACAAGCTTTGCCAGTTAAAGGATCCTATGGAGCCAGTTAAACTAAACAATTTAGTTTACTTAATACCGTGAAATGATTGTCAGGTCAAATACATAGCGCAGCATAAAAACCTAGCAAAATCTAGATTATGTGACCCTAATAAGATAAAAAATCTGGAGAACAGTTCAGCTGCAATTACACACAACTATACAATAGGACAGGATAAGATGGCAGTTTTAAAATCTAATGTAACAGGGTCGAGGGAGAGATTGATGATGGAAACTTTATTCATCAAATGAACTGAAAGTATGTTTAATAGGAATGATTCAGCATCTCTCCTAGATGTGTGGAGAATTCTACTACACCTACGACAAATAAGAAGGAATAAGGAAAACTATAAAACGAAATTTTTGAAGGTGTGTGGTTACAACTGACATGACTATGAAGAGCAATAAGTTGTATTCGAAACGTCATCCAGTAAATAGAACTGTTCCTTTGAAAAATGTTTGTCAAATTTCTAAGAAATGCTACTTTTCATCAGTATAACTGGATCAAAAATGTTTCATAAAGTAGTAATATCCTCTTTTCTGTTCCACTAACTTCGCGGCACCTTTTCAAGACTGTGTTTTGTTGTCTTTGTAGGCACTTATTGTGTACGTTGAGAAATTCCAGAAAAGAATTTCGTCTCTCTCAATATCTACCACCAGCATTATTTTACATCTATTTGTCGCATTATCCTCTGTCTTAGGATTTCGCTTTTTCATTTTAACTTTGTAGCTGTGACTGGTTTAGAAGTACTAGTAAGTATTGTCAATTAAGCCTTGATTAACAGACAAGGACATGAATATCTTTTATAAAGCTCACAATATTTAGATGATTCAAGAAATGTGAAACCTGTGTTGTGCGTGAAAAAGGATAATTAACTTGGAACTTTGCTCACAAAAACGAGTAGTTCAAATTACTACACTTCATAAAGTCACGCAAAGCGATAGAAGAAAGGAATGTAATAGAACTACAATAAAAGAAAAATGTAGTTAGGTTTAGAGTAATGAGAGTTTTCGGCATCTCATTGGACATATGAAGTAAATATGTCTTCAGAGTTTCGAATCACTGATTCTTACTTTCACTTTCATCACCGACCCATGTTGACAGTTGTTGTGGGAACTTTAAGTCGGATCGCATTTAAACAACTTTCGCACTCTGTCATGTTTAGAGACTGCCAGTAGCAATCTACTTTCATCTATCAGTTCTGCTGAAGCTGAAGAGATCCTTTGGTTGTCACTAGCCTTTACGACTGTTTCTAAGGTAGATTGAAGATGAAGCTAGACTTTCTCAGGATAAGTGTTGCTTTGATTTTAGATATGTGTTTATAGTTATTTCCTCTCTAAGCATAAACTCCTTGTTCAGATAGCCTGTGTTATGGATAC